TATATATATATATATATATATATATATATATATATATATATATATATAATTATATCATCTCCAAAGTTGGGATTTTTGTTAGCAAACATACCTTCCCAAGAAAGCATATTCCCTGTGAATCCTTTCTATCTTGGTTAGGCAAATCAAATTTTCGGGCAAGCCTTCGGAATTCATCCTGATGATTTAATAGGAAAATTAATCGATATTGAAATAGTAAATTCATAAATTCTGTTTTTTATAGAGCAAACTTACTTTTGGAATACATCCAAGAGGAAGCACTAGTCTTTTAAGCTGAGCTTGTGAGAGATATGAAAGAAAGTAGGTCTGATCCTTCAGCTGAAAATCCAAGATTTATCTATCGCTGAGTGACAGTGAGTAACGAAAAAAGGGAAAAGTAAATAAGTAGCAAATCTTTACCATATCCTTTGAGAGCTGAAGAAATGAAAGCTCATTGGTTTCATCTGTAATGGGGTGAATAACTTTTGCATAATGTCCAGAAGCAACAAAGTCAAAATCCATGTTACTGATGGCATCCATGAACGCACCGAATTTGATTCTTGTATTGCAAAGAACATCAGGGTTAGGCGTACGACCACATTTATACTCATCAATAAGGTAAGATACATGCAGCATTATAAGCAATAAGTTCCACTGATGATGATGAATGTGAGAAAATGCATTAAGAGGGGTGTGACTTACCACTTTGTCCCAATATTCATCTGTCAGATGTACAATTTCCAGTGGTACATCAACCTGAAGCAGATTTGTAAAAAAAAATGTTGATATGTTTCCTTCAATACTAATTTATACGATTAATCAAACTTGGAAGAAACAAAGAAAAAGATCACATAATCAGGGATTTGAGTGATAGCACCGAGAACTTCATTTGTTAAAGCAGGGAAGTGTTTTTGAGCCTTCAAATCCAGTTAAGCACTAACAGAAATCTGAAGATAAAATGAGATCGATAATATGAAGGTGAAGAAAGCAACCTGATTGCAAACAGCTTTTGCGTACTTCAAATCTTCTTCCCATGGGCATTCAGACCAAAAGTTCTCGAAATCTTCCTAAGAACGAATTCAGTACCAGAACTAGCTAAGGTATTATAGGTCTCAAACTTCAAAAATGCCAAAAGACAAACAGAAAGCTAAAAGTAAAACGGAAATACGAAAGTAAGAAACCGATAAGAGAGGGGATTTTTGTTCATTTTCGATGTCAAATTATTGAATTGGAGCATCTTTACCATTCGAAAAGAGATAGCAAACTTGCAAATACTTACAGTTTGAAGTTGAAGATAGCCAACAAAATTAGGTTTATATTCGAAACCAGACATTATGGTCATAAACCTGAATGGGTTTATTCGTATATGCAATGTAATGTGCAATCAAAAGAAAAGCTTACGCACTTGGAACCAGATTTTAAGGTAGAAAGCGGTGCAGGAGTGTCCGGCTGCGTGTAGGAGGCGAAGTGCGACACTGCTATCAACGCCACCACTGAGAAGAACAGCAATTTTGAGAGGGCGTTTGCTATTGGGCATTGAGCAAGACAAGTAACTGTTGTCCAAATCAGAAATTGTGTCGTTCGAAATTCGGGGAACTGCTGTAGATGATAGAGAACGAGGTGTGTTGATGGATAAGATCGTTCTAACAGCTCGAGGGTAGCTTTGTCGAATTATTAACCGCAGGGGTTTGTGAATCGTGTGTGAGACGAAAGCCTTGAAGGGTAAAGAGTACAGCTTGGTGGTGGGGTGAAACAGAGCGACCATTGTTGTTCTGAGCATCGTTTCATCGAGCGTTTGCGCATAGTTGGATGACGTTGTGCGCGTGAAAATAATAAATTAGAATGAACTATTTACATTTTCACCCCTATACTTTAAATTTCCTGTCACTTTTACATTAGACATAAACAGTTAAACACTACTACTAACCCAATAGAAAGCCCAAGCCCATACTCTACTTCTTCATCTTTTCTTGTATGAAATCAACTCAGTTGCTTAATTTAATAGTATAATGCAAAACATGTTTAATGAAAAAATTTCATTTAAAGTCGTATTATAAACTTTTCAAGAAATAATGATACATTTTAAATCAATTAGAGATATTATGCTACTTTTGAACTTTAACCCTTTTATTTTTTATTTTTAAATTTGTTATATGCTTTTTATCCAATAATACACATAATCATTTATCATTAACAAAATAGTTGTATTTTTTATATGTTTTCCTCGTAAGAGTATGCCCGACAAGATTAAACAAAAGTTAAAGATGCACCATCAAATATTAATTTCCAAAAATAGTAAACAACAAAGCAAACACACATTTGAGGAACACACCTACACGGCTTACATTCATAATGAACTACAACAACTATAGGATGTTATAATTATACCATATTCTTTTCTTAAATATATTGAATCGTTAGTATAGTATAATAAACGATCCTAATTAAATAAGACATTTAGGTATGACAAATAAGGGTTAATGATTTAAAAGGTAATATTTTTGTTTTCTGTTCAATATATATATATATATATATATATATATATATATATATATATATATATATATATATATAGAGAGAGAGAGAGAGAGAGAGAGAGAGAGATAGAGAGATAGAGAGAGAGGACGGTTCACTTGAGATTAAAAAAAAAGTAGAGATCTTGAGATTCAACTTGAACAATATATTTTTCATTTGTCACTCTAACGCTCCAGCGTACCGGCAGCAGCATGATTATGACAGTTGGTGGCAGAAAAGGTGGTGGAGACAGAAGTGACGGATGTGACAGTGGTGGGGTCGGCTGGTGTCAGAGGTGGTGGTGGTGGTGGCGGTTGTGGTGGTGGGGATGGTGGCGGAGGAGAAATAAACGGACGATGCTATATAATCATTTATGATTATAACATGCATGTCGCGCCGGTATACCGGAGGGTTAGAGCGGCAGTCTTGAAATATGTGGCTTATGTTGAATCTCAAGATCTCTATTTTACTTTTTATCTCAGCGGAATATATATATATATATATATATATATATATATATATATATATATATATATATATATATATAACCTGTAACAACCGGTAATATACTAATATTATCTTTTTTGAATACGTGAAATAATTTCAATGGTCAAATATGAACAAAAAACAGTTATGCTCAAATATGAACATAAAACAAAGTATGATACATTTTAAGTCGTTAACGTTATGTTTTGTTTTGATTTGGTCATCTAACTTTTTTTTTGTACAGTTGGTCATTAATATTAACTAACTGATTTCAATTACATCACTTATAGACATTAACGGGTTGGACCGGTTTCTTAGCTGAATTGAAATTTAAATAAATTAGACAAAAAAAATTTAAAAGTCACGTAAGTAATTCCATGTATCATTAAATGTGATATATCCGCGTTAAAAAGGTTGTCTTCTTCGTTCTCATTCCATTAACCAAAGGCTACGAGAATAACTAAAATTTTGAAGTTCTTTATCGAACAAACTCAAGAAGCAGCTAAACAGTAGCAATGTAACCTTGAACACTAGTGAGTTTTATTCTATAGTGGAACTGAACTATGAAGGAATATTTCTTCAACATCCATTCTCTTATAATCATGGTGTGAAATTTACCTTTAAGAGGCTCAAAACCTGGATAAACTCCGCACTTAGATAGGCTTGACACTTAGGTGCTGTTTGTTTTTTCTGAAGCAAAATGTCTACAGTTTGCGGATCACATCTGTAGACATCTGCAGTAGAAGAGGTGGACCAAACGTCTGCAGTCTGAAAAAAGAAGACTGTTTTTTTAACATCTGCGGGC